CCCTCTTAGGAGATATTATTAGATAGAAAACCCTATGTGCTTAACTCTTGTGGGGAATTTTGTGTTCTTCAGGTGTGGATTTAGACATGAGCTGATTCCTCACGTCTAAAGCAATATTATTTGGAGGCTCAGAATCCCCAGCGATGTAGATTGGCCAATCTAACCTGTTTTTTGTGTTTGTTGTTGTTGTTTGTTTTTTCTCTAACTCTCAAAAAGAAAATTGTCAGCTTTCTAGGACAAAATTCAAGTAAAATTTCGTCTTGTTGTTTTCAGGATCATCCCCTCTGCTGCTTTCTAATGGAATCAAGCCAGAATCTTCCTTGCTAGTTTTTTAAACAAAATCTCAGTAGAGTTTCTCTCTTGGAGTAAGTGAAATAAGAATATTTCTTCAGGCTACTCATTCTTTAAATTATATTGCTGGGTCATAATGACATATCAACGTTTTACATACTTGGAGCCACTGAGATGGTTGAGAAGGTAAAAGAGCTTGCCACCAAGTCTCACCCCCTGAGTTCAGTCCCCAGGACCCGTATAATAGAATAACAAAACTGACCCTCAAGGCATTTTTCTCATCATCACATGCACACTGTGGCACGTGTGCACACATCTGTGTACACACACACACACACAAAATGTAAAAAAGTAAACTTTTTTTAAAGTTGACACATTTAAAATATTAACTTAAAGAATTAAGGGATAACTATAAAACAATAGAGTATGCTGAACACCGCATGCATGTTCATCTGATTCAACGGTGTTCTTCTACTGTGCATATGTGTTACACACACACACACACATACACACACACACACACACACACAAAGACACAGAGAGTAACAAAAACAGTCAACATAAGATCTACTCATCAAATTCGATGGCTGTAATTCCATTTCACATTCTCCCATAAGCCCACCTCAAGGATCTTTTCCCATTGTAAACTGAAGCTGCACACTTTGACTAACACTAGCCTGCTGCCTACCACACTGGTCCCTCCCCACCCCCATTCTACCCTTTGCTCCCAAAAACTTAAGCATCTCAGATCCCTCACATCAATGGTATCCTCAAGTATTTTATCTCTTTGTCTGGCTTCTTGCACCCCATTCCTCTAATGGGCTTATTCATGTTATTGTGAATAGGAAAAAGCCTTTCTTTGTCCAGGGTGCATAATATCCCATGTTATGGATATGCCATGTTTTCTTTACCCATTATTACATAGATGAACACTTTGGCTGCTTCCAATGCCTTGGCTATACATATTCTGCAGTAAGCATGTGCATTCAGGGCAAACTCAGAGCTTGTTTACAGTCTTCTTGGGAATGTAGCCGTATCACACAGATACTTCTATATTTAAGTTTTGGGGGCCTCTCCATATTTTCCACAATGGTTGCAATGATTTGCATGTCCATGAATACAGTACAGTATGTCTTACAAACACTTGCTATAATACATGCACTTCCATTCCATCAGCTGTGGGTGACATCGCCTGTGGTTTGCTCTGCATGTCCCTGTGGGTTGCAATGCATTTCCCTAATGGCTAGTGGTGATATGTACTTTTGAGATATCTGTTGGCTGTTTGCATACTTTTAATAATGTCCATACATTTGCTTATTTTTAAGTGTCATTACTTTTGTCCTCTACTGCATTTTGTAACTTCTTTATATGTTTTGGATATTAACCCCTTATCGAATATTTAGTCCATAACTATATCCTCTTACTCTGTAGGTTGCTATCTTGGCTTTCCACATCTGTTGTTATGCCAAAGCCATTAACTGAGTGTAATTCCATCTTCTTTGTCTTTATTTCCTGTGTGTTTGTTCTAGAAACCACTATGAAAGCTGATGCCAAGGGAATTTTTTTCCTAAGTTGACTTCCAGGAGTTTTCTGGTTTGCAGTCTGACATTTACATCTGTAATGTGTTTTTTCATGGACTTAGTGTGCAGCCTCTGAGTCCATAAGGATATCCAGGCTTCCCTATGTTGCTCACTGAGGAAACTCTCCTTCTGCCACTGGGTGTGCTCCCTTTTGTCTCATTTGCTTGTATGCCTCTTACAGATTTGCTCTATCTCAAGGTATTTTGGTTATACAAGGTCTTCTTTAGTCCAATAAGAATCGGAAGGTTTTTTCTCACTTTTTGGAGAGAGAGAAACTGCACTGAATTTGTAGATTGTCTTTGTCAAAATGAGCACATCAACATAAAATGTTTCAATTTATTTCTATAGTTTAAATTTTCTTTTGTTCAAGTTTCATAGTCCTGAACAAGTGTTTTATCTCCTGAGATAAATTAATTCTTAGGTGCTTTATTCAATTTGGTATTAATAGAAATGAAATTGTTTTCTTGGTTTCTTCTGGAGTGATTTGATGCTGTTGAGTAGAAATGCAATGATTGTTATAGATGATTATGCGTCCTGCCCTTTGCTGGATTTATTCATGTAGATAGATTTTTTTGGCAGAGTCAGTTATAAGGACTTTTTCGACATAAGATCATCTGTGACCAGAGACAATTTTACTTCAGCCATTCCACATTTGATTTCTGCGTCTTCACTAGCTTCCCTGGCTAGTGTGTCTTTCTTGCAGAGTCTTAGAATAGTTGAGGTGGGAACCTTTGCTTGTTCCAGATCACAAAGAAACGTCTTAAGAGTTGGAAGGTGAAGATGGAGAACAAACCACACCAAGTGTACCAGGAAGAGGGGTGTAAGATACTTTATTAGAGAGAAAGAAGTCACTTACATGAGAAGATGAGAAATGAGGTCAGTGCTCTGCTGGTCTCCGACCTTGACTGCAGCCCTAAGAAAGAGTGCGAACCCTCCTTCTTTGATCTTTATCCCTGCTTCTCCCCACCCCACTTACCTGTGACCACACCCAAATGGACATGGTGAGTGCTGCAGGTAAGTGAGATCTCTACCTACAGATGGTCTTTTCATTTATTTATTTATAGGTTTTTGTTTTGGTTTCATTTTTCAGTGTTTTGTTTCTGTTCTTTTGCTTTTGTCACTATGTTGATTTTTCATTTACAGACTTTGTTGTATAAATACCTACATCTTTTCCTTGACAGTGTGTGTGTGTGTGCATGTATGCCTGCATGTTCATGTGTATGAGAGTACGTGCTTATGTATGTATGAGTACATCTGCACATGAAAGCAGGGTTCAACATGAGGTGTCTTTCTCAGTCACGTCGCCACATTGTTTTTGAGACAGGGACTCTTCCTGAAACCAGGAGCTAGACTGACTAGACTGGCTAGTCGGGTAGCCTTGGGGATCTTCCCATGTCCACCTCCCCAGTGTTGGGGTTACAGCACATGCTACCAGGTCTGGCTTCTTGCAAGAGTTAAAGATTCAAAATCAGGTCCTAAAGTCAACTGTTTTGCCTACTAAATTGTCTCCCCAGTTCTAAGTTTTTTTAATTGAAAAAAAGGTTTAACTTTTGAGCCAGGTGGTGGTGGTGGCAGCGGCGGCGGCGCATGCCTTTAATCCCAGCACTCAGGAGGCAGAGGTAGGCAGATCTCTGTGAATTCGAGGCCTGGCTGGACCGACAGCCTCCAAAACAATACAGAGAAACCCTGTCTCGTAAAACCAAAAAAAAAGTTTAACTTTTAAAGGTGAATATATAATTTTGTTTTATCCTTCATTTTTTGACGTGATGGATAAGAATCATTTCTGTGTATCGAACCATCCTTGCAAGTAAGTGCAAGATCCCATTTGATCGTGACATAGAATCCCTCCTTGAGGGTTGTTAAATTTGACTTGCAAACATTTTGTTGAGGAATTTTGCATCTGTGTTCATCAGACATAATGGCTTGTACTTAGCTAGTGTGCGGTGTCCTAGTTCAGGTTCGATACCTGGATTTTGCTGTATTTATAAAATAACATAGTCATGTTCACCTCACTTTTTATAGAAGTATTTAAGAAGGATGAGTATTGATTTCTTTTAAATCTTCACCTACAAAGTCGTTTAGTCCTGGGCTTTTCTTTGTTGAATATTTCACTTAATTAATGATTAGGGTTTTTTTGTTATTACTGCTGTTTTTCCTTGTTGGTCTATTGAAGTTTTACAATTCTTTTTGATTCAGTTTTGTAGGCTCTGTAAATTTAGGTATTTCTCCATTTTCTGTATAGCCCAGGCAATCTACAGCTGTGTGGTGGTTCATATTCCCTAATGACGTTCTTTATTTCTGTGGGGTCAATTGTAATGCCTCCTTTTTCATTAAAAAATGTATTCATTTGAGCCTTCTTCCTTTTTCTTCTGGCCTTAATAAGAGTTTGCCAGTTACTTAATTAGTTACTGTGATTATTGTCTGTTAACTTTTTAAGCAGATTTCATGTAGCCTAGACGAGCACCAAACTCACTAGATGGCTGAACTCTTGATCGTCCTTCCTTGGGTTCCCAAATAAGATTACAGGCATTCCCTCAACCAACTTGTTAGCCAGTTTTCATTGTTCTGCTCCTTCTGTTCTTTTCCTCTCCAGTTTTATAAAAAAAAAAAAACAAGCAAGCAAAAATAAACAAGCAAACAAAAACCTGCTACCATTCACTTTTTACATGTAACCCTAATTCAGTCAGGCCTGATGTCGATCTTTATCCTAGATCTGTGTACTCAGAAAACTGTTTCAAGCCAATGTCCCAGTATTATTTCAAAATTTAGTAGCCATGACTTTATTCTGTTGTTAAGATACTGGCTTCCCATAGGTATTTTTTTATGCTCATTTAGGGCCATGTGTATGAACCCGAGTGTACGTATGTTCGCCACATACGTAAAAGAGCCCAGGTAAGTCAGAAGCAGGTATTGGGGGGAAGCAGAGTTACAGACAGTTGTGAGGCAACATGTGCATTCTGGGAACTGAACACAGGTCCTTGGCAAGAGCAGTCAGTGTGTTTAGTCCGTGAGCCATCTCTCCAGTCCATGTGCATTATCTAAAGAAGCTACAAATATCTACCAAAGCCCACTTACGCTATAGCAAATCCTGCATAGACTGGACCGAGCAGGGGGAGGGTATCATCTCACCTTAAAAATATGTTTCACATGCTCAAAGTTGCATGGGATATCAAGCTTTTCAAGCAATTTGTGAGCATTTTCAACGGTGATTTTTCCACCTCTAAATTCGTCCTGAATCTTTGACAGAAACCACGTATGAAGCACAGGAAGTTAAGGAAATTCTCAAAGAAAGTCACTTACTAAGTCTTTAAAATTCCTAAGTAGACAGTTTATGTCCAGTTTCAATGAATCATCTGTCCTGTGCTCAGACAACAGCAAATAAATACTATTCACAACAAAGTAATGTTGTAATGATTACAATACAGGTATATAAGATGTGAAAAGACGTAATCCTATTAAAATGCGGGACAATTTTTTAAAACCTGAGAAATAAAGTTAGCACTTGGAAAGTTCATTATACAGTTATTACATCCTATTTTCCTGGAAGTCTGATCCTGAGAGCTACTGGAATCCAGACTTATTCCACCTGCCTTTCCTCTCTCATCCCAGAAAGATGAGCAAATCAACAGTTGATCTTATAGAAGGCAGAGCATGAAATAAGTTCCTAGGGCATCATTAAACATAGGCTGGGTGTTCAATAGTGACTATGACTACTTTAATTACTACACCCGTCAGATGTCCTGGTACAGGATTGCTTCAAAACTAGTTCAACTACCTTTAGAAAGGGTTACAGATATCACAATGCAGGCTGGGGGTACAGCTGAGCTGATAGAATGTCCTCTTAAGCATGCTTGAGGCCCTGGCTTTAATCCGCAGTGCCACACAAATCAGGTGGGCTGGTGCATGCTGTAATCCCAATACTCCAAAGGTGAAGGCAGAAGGGTCAGAAATGCAAGGTTGTCTTTGACTATAGGACAAATCTGAGGCCAGGCTGGGTTACTGGGACTACATGAAGCCTCATCTCAAAACTACAAACAGCAAAAGAAAAAGAAGCTACAATGAGTTTATACTTGATATGAAAAGAGAAAGTATAATCAAGCCTACTTATTATATACAGATAATGTTTAAAATTAGGATACCCCAACTTGGAAAAAATGGATTAAAATGAGATAATAGGGTGAGCTAAAAAACCATGGAAGCTACTGGTGACACACAGCTTCTCCAATTTCAATTTCAATTTAGATTGTTAAAACTAATGAGTAACTCTTAAACTTAATGACTGACACAATATGGAAAAGTGCATTTTCTTATAGTAGTAACAATAATAAAATGCAGGGATCTACGGAAACCCAGAAAAGCTCAGAGCTGTATAAAGTTCATATTTGAATGGCAGACACTTGAGTTCAGAACTCTGTAAGAAGAGCGAGAGTCACACAAAGAGGAAGAACAGAGAGCAGGAGGGGGGTGGGGCAGCAAGACCTGAATGGATATTTTGCTTCTGCGTGCTCATGATGTCGCGTTTCCATGTTTTCATGATCTGTGCCACGTGTCCTCCCATAGAGGTCTCTCCACCGAAGGTGTTGTCACTTAATCTTAGAAGTAGCTCCCCTCTTTACGACAGTCATCAGCTGTTCTTACTGCTGCAGCTTTTCTAGGGAAAAGGCAGAGAACACACAATCTGTTTCCTATGCTCTTTGAAATTAGTGCTCGCGTACACACGTGTAAACACACACACACACACACACACATGCACACACAGAAAACATGAAAGATGTTGTTCCTGAGTAAAACTTTGACTTCTTATGTTCTGAGAATTTCCAATCCCACTGGCATTTTTCAACAAACTCTGTGTTTCTATGTGTGTGTGTGTGTGCGTGCGCCCGCGTGCACACACACTTTCCATAGCACATGTGTTGAGGTCAGAGGACAATTTGCAGGATCTTTTCTTTCCTTCCTTCATGTTGGGCATGGGGATCAAACTCTGGCTGTCAAGCTTGGTAGCAAGCAGGTTAACTGGCTGAGCCATCTCTCTCAGGTCTCATTGTATCTCTTTTTATTTTTCCTATTTTTGCTTCTAATCCCTCAAGCCTTTCATCACAATGTTGACCCATAAGGGTGGGGCTGCTCTTCTAAAGGGCCTGAGTGGAGATCAGTGCCCTGTGACAGCTGAAGAGACAATACACTGTCCAGAATCAACTACAAACCCCAGGCAACTTCTCTAGACAACCGACAACATACAATGGACACAGAAAAAGACAGACCACTCTCGAAGAAGACTCGTCAGGAAGCAAGTTCTTAAACCTTCACAATTGGTATAGCTGGTGGTCTGGGCAGCACACTACCAGGTGGCTATCATTTTCTTCTTTGGTTCTGAGTACTCATTGTGACATCATTTGAAGTTCCATGCTTCTCTGTGATCTCACCAGGAGACACAGAGCTTGCCTGACTGCCCATCTCCATGCTCAGACATACTGACCTACAGCTTAAATGATTAACACCGTGAATGGACAAGGTATCCCATGGATCGATTTCTTACCCTGTGAACACCATTCATTTCAGAAGCTCTGCTTCTGCTGCAACGAGACATGTCACTCAGCGTCTTGAGTAGGAAAGAAAAAGAGAAGGTCATCCGTAGACTCTTAATCCAGGCTCCTCCTGGGGAATTTGTGAATGCCTTTGATGATCTCTGTCTGCTTATCCGTGATGAGAAGCTCATGCACCATCAGGGTGAGTGTGCGGGTCATCAGCACTGCCAAAAATACTGTGTGCCACTCTGCATCGATGGCAACCCGGTCCTCCTGTCTCACCACAATGTGATGGGTGACTTCCGGTTCTTTGACTATCAGAGCAAACTTTCTTTCAGGTTTGACCTGCTCCAGAATCAGCTGAGAGACATCCAAAGCCATGGAATCATTCGTAATGAGACCGAGTACCTGAGATCTGTTGTTCTGTGTGCCCTAAAACTTTATGTGAACGATCACTACCCAAATGGAAATTGCAATGTGCTGAGAAAAACAGTCAAAACTAAAGAATTCTTAATAGCTTGCATCGAAGACCACAGCTATGACAATGGAGATTGTTGGAATGGCCTTTGGAAATCTAAATGGATCTTCCAGGTAAACCCATTTTTAACCCAAGTAACAGGAAGGATTTTCGTGCAAGCTCACTTCTTCAGGTGTGTCAACCTTCATGTTGAAATCTCCAAGGACCTGAAGGAAAGCTTGGAGGTGGTCAATCAAGCCCAGTTGGCTCTCAGCTTTGCAAGGCTTGTGGAAGAACAAGAGAATAAGTTTCAAGCTTCCGTCTTAGAAGAATTGCAGGAGCTGTCAAACGAAGCCCTGAGAAAGATACTGCGGAGGGACCTTCCAGTAACCCGCACTTTGATCGACTGGCAGAGGATCCTCTCTGACTTGAACCTGGTGATGTACCCCAAGTTAGGGTACGTCATTTACTCCAGAAGTGTGTTGTGCAACTGGATAATATAAAGGGCTGCTCCTGGCCATCGTCTCAGGCTAGATGTCTTCTGGGGAGTGGGTGCTTGCAGACAGCTGGGAAGTTCTTGTACCATTGGCCCCAAGCAAGTTTAAAGAGGGGGGAAGAGTAAAAAATTGTTTACACAGACAGTATTCGCAAACATAGCAAAAAGGGGAAAGGTAAATACATTTCATAATGGTAACTGTCACAAATTCGGAGTTCTTGTTAGAGACTAAAATAACTAGATAATAGGGAGTGGCTAGGATTGATATTGGGGTTCCTGTGTGTGTGTGTTTCTCTGTGTATCTGTATCTGCATATGTGTCTGTGTGTATCTATGTCTGTGTGTGTCTATGGGAGGGTGTTTGTTTTTTCTGTGTGTGTCTGTGTCTCTGTGAGTGTGTGTCTATGTGTATGTCTTTGTGTCTCTGTAGGTATCTGTGTGTATGTGTCTCTGTGTGTGTTTGTTTCTGTGTCTCTCTGTGTCTGTCTGTGTGTGTGTATGTGTCTGTGTGTATGTGTCTCTGTATGTGTTTGTGTCTGTGTGTGTGTGTCTGTGTCTGTGTATATGTCTCTGTGTGTATGTTTGTGCTGTGTCTGTCTGTGTGTGTGTCTGTGTGTATATGTCTCTGTGTATATGTTTGTGCTGTGTCTTGTCTCTCTGTGTCTGTCTGTCTGTGTGTACCTGTGTGCCTGTGTATCTAATGTTTGTGAATTCAGCCTCTCTTTGAACTGAGTAGGTTTGCACATGCATGTCACATCACTCTGAAAATGCTACCTCACATTAGTCCTTTCGGTCTGAGACCAACCAGAAATGGGTGAACCTTAACAAATGCCATTGTGTTTGGATATCCTATGAAAGGAGCTAATCTCACATCTCTCATTTGTGGGGCTAGAGAGATGACTCAGTGGTTAAGAGCACCGACTGTTCTTCCATGGGAGCTGGATTCAATTTTCAGCACCCAAACGGTGGCTCACAATTGCTTGTACCTTGAATCCCTGGGCCTCCTGGGGTCCTGCATATGCACAGTGCACAACACTGCACACACATGCAAGGAAAACACTCAGACACATAAAATAAAAATGGAGAGTAGTACAGTTACTTCCTCTCCCTCCTGCTCCCTCCTCACCCACTTCCTAAGGAAGATGTGAAGTTGATGCAAATCTCTGGTCTCCTAGAATAGCAGGGTCTAGAAACCTAATGCTTACTTCACAGAAAGCTTTGCACTAAATCTGTTTTGCATACAACATTTCGTATCTGTCTCATTCTAGTATTATCCCCATTCTATATTTTTAAAATACTAAGGTTTTGAGTTCTCACATCACCAAGACCTCTAACATCTTAATCTAGTCTGTTCTGGCTGCTACGATGAAAGTCTGTGAAGGGTGGGCCCCATGGGACAGCTTGGCATACAAAGGTGCCTGCTGCTAACCCTGACTGGTCCCTACTATCCTGCCTGAACCTGAATTCCATTCCCAGGACACACAACGTGAAAAGAATCCACACCAACAAGGTGTCCCCCAACCTCCACAGGAGGCACTATCCACAACCCCATGCACACAAAATGAAATAAATAAAACTCCAAAAAATTAGCATAAAAGGAGGTGCTGACTAGAAAGGCAGGCCTCAAAAGTCAGAGGCCGGATCCAGGATGGAGTCAAGCTAGGTGCGGGCTGGGTCAACGCCTAGGACCCAGGCTTCCTCATGGGTGGGGCTCCTTGTGGTGCAGCACATCTTGGAAGAAGCAAGGTAGTTCTCCGGATCTTTTTAATAAGGATATCAATCCTGTTCATAAAAGCTACACACCCATGAATGACCTCCTGGAGGCCCCTGAGGCTACCACCCTGGAAATCACATTTTGCCACTCAAACTAGCCTGCTTAGTGACTGGTGTGAATTACTAAGGATCACACTCCTTGGGATCAGCTATCTGGGGAGGCCAGTATGATCGTCAAGTGATGCCTTGAACACGAAATGCTCCCCTACCATAGCAAAGGCCCATTGCTTTGAATACTTAGTCTCCAACTGATGTCACTGTTTGGAGGAGTTTCTGGGAACATTTAGAGACTGAGCCTGATTGGAAGGAGCAGATCACTAGGGACACGCTTTTAAATGACTCCTAAAAGCTCTCTGTTTCCTTCTCGGCTTGATGTCCGCATGGGATGAGCAGTCCCCTCTCTCACATGCTGCCACCATCATGATGTTTGCCCAAACACAGACAGCTTGGCCAGACTGGACTCTCTGAAGCCACAAACAAGGGAAACCCTTCCTCTGCTCTGTTGTTTCCGTTGGAAATTTGGTCTCAGCAATGAGAAAACCACACAGGAGTGGTGTGTCCTGCTGAACAGTTATGAGGGCAAGCACAGCACACACAAATGTCCCAGAAGAGGGATCTGCTGCCACCCAGCTCAACCCAGTCCTGGATGCCATCACCCTATCCACGCTTCGCAGGGATCTTATTTCTGCCAACTTCTTTCCATGAATTCCCCGCTAAAATATGATGACTGGGAAGGGTAGACCTCATCCTTCAATCCTGACTTAGCTGAAAAGGAAAGTACTTTGGATCTTAAATTCATGCAACTGAAAATGCTATGTTTCTGTCCCATTAGGCAGACAAGAGCCCGGGCAGGAATTTTTAAACCTCAAATCTTCAACTACTGGTTATTAATTACTAATGTATTTACATGTGTGCATACATGTTGTTTGCATGCTTGTGCTTGTGCGATTAGGGGTGTGCACATGCTTGTGGAAGCTGCATGTCCATATGTTGGGTGTCTTCTTTGATCATGGGCCCACCAATATGCCTACACTGGCTGGCCAGTGAACCCACACGAACTTCCTGTTTCCATGTAGCACTTGAAGATAGGTGGCCGTGGCAGCTTCTTTTACTCGGGTGCTGAGGGAAAACTTAGGTCCTCATGCTTACACAGCAAGCACTTTACCTACTGAACCGTCTCCACACCCCTGACTGTTTAATTAGTGAATTCTCTGGGCGCATCTTCAAAAATACACATTCTTGGAACCCATTCTAAAACACACACACACTCTCTCTCTCTCATTTTAAAGATTGAACTTAAGACCATTTGCCCTCTGTTACTGAGTTACAACCCCCTCATCTCCACTGCCCAGGGTATCTACATTTTAAAAGAAGCATCAGAGATGTCTCTGATATAAAAGCTACCAGCCAGAACCACACTTCAGGAAACATCGCTGTAACCTTAAAATAGTATGCCTAATTTCTGTTCACTTAAAATCATTTCCCAGAAATCCACTGCCCAGTGAAAGCCATTTTTACTACTCATAGTATATGGACCAAAGCCAGGATTTCATCTGTTAAGTAAAAAATGAAAAGTCCTAAAATAAAGCAGAAAATAAAATTGTTCTCCTGAACTGAAATGAAGCCATCAGATAAACCTTTAACAAAATCATGAAGTAGTTTGTGATCATTCCAGAACAGGACCCGAGAGTTTATGAGGGAAATTGTAGACACATTTATCTCCTCGTCTATATTTATTATTATTATTATTATCATTATTATTATTATTAGTAGTAGTAGTAGTATTTGTATTTTCCTGCTACTATGATAAAATACCCTGACAAAAGCAAGTTAAGAGCAGGGAGGGTTTAATATGTCTATTGATTTGAGAGCATGGAAGTACCGCAGTGGGAGTGAGGTCACACTGTGTCCACTGTGAGAAAATAGAGAATAGTGAAGCCTGGACCTTAGCTCACTTCCCCTTTACATACTGTCCTGAACCTACTCCCAGTGATGATGCCACCAACATTTCAGGCTGGGTCTTCACTTTTCTACTAACTCAGTCATGCAAATCTCTCACGGGCATTCCTGAGGGGTTAACCTAGTCTAGATCATTCCTTACTGATAAGGCCAGGGGTTTCTTTCCTGGTTTAGCCTAGACCTTGTTGAACTGGCAATCAGTACCAATCGTCACACACTCCAACAGCCAGTCTTGACGGTAAGATCGCTAGCTGTGTCTGTAATCTCAGCATTCAGAAGGCTGAGACAGGAGGCTCACAAATCCAAGTTGAGACTGGCCTAAATGATGTCATGTCACTAAAAGAAAAACAAAAACCATTAAGCAGAAAAATATTGTTGCTATTTCTAGATATCTGTCACGTGTAGAAATGGTGGGAAGTGCTTAAAATATAAAGTATTGATCTATCTTTCTCCATCTAACTTTTCAGAGTTGTTTTCAACATTAAGGATACATAGCATAAAACTTTATATTTGATAATCTTTTACATAATGCATGCATCATAAACATTGTCCCATATCATTCAAAATTTCTTGAGCACATAAATTTAATTATTTACATGGCATTCATTCTATAAATGCACCATAACAAGACAGTCATTTCTTTCTTTATATATTATTTAGATTTTTAGGATTTCTCCTGCTATGAATTGTTCTACAATGAGCATATATTTTTCCACACTTTGGGTTATTTCCCTCTAGACAAATTACCCAAAGTTCATATTAAAAAGGCACAAAGGCATTAATGCTCACACTGCATATTTCCTAGTGCTCTATAGGCATACTCTTAGCAAATTTACAATCCCTCAATAACACTGGAAAAGTGCCTAGCTGGGCATGGTGGTGCACACCTATAATCCTAGCACTGGGGAGATGGAAACAGGATGATCAGGTGTTCAAGGTCATTCTCAACTGTATGAATGAGTATGGGTGAGTTGGAGACCAGCCTGGGCTGCATGATTTCTATCTCACAGAAACACAAAAGGAAGGAATGGGAGTGGTGTCTAGCTAACCAACTAACCATAGAGGTCTTGATAACCAATATCAACTTAGTATTTAAAACAAGATGGTAGAAAACCTTGAAATGTATTTCATTAGCTTATGCCACATCTATACTAAATGTACTTCCTGGAGGAAATTCTTATCTATAAGGTGACTGACATAACCAAGAAAAAATGCAGTTACTAGTCTCTCTCTCTCTCTCTCTCTCTCTCTCTCTCTCTCTCTCTCTCTCTCTCTCTCTCTGTCTCTCTCT